GGAACTACATAGTACAAGCATTAGATGTCTGTATCCTTAGAGTACACATGATAACATGTTTAAGTTGCACCATAACAGACATGTGCAGGGTGTGATTGGAGCTTACAATGCTGCATCCAACCTGTTTGAAGGGCCAGACACCTTAATATCTAGAAGAGCCTATAGATCCTCTCAGGAATCTTGAGAGGTGACCAATCAGCATGTGAGTATCTCATGAAATCTGTTTCAATGATGAAATATTGAGATATTAAATGAAAAGTCTTCCGAAATTAAATGAAAATGTCTTCCACTCCTTATGAATGCCATTGCCCTATCATCTCCTACCACCTGTCATCTCAGGCGAGGGAAGGTACAGATAAAAATAGAGGAATCTTTGCTTAGGGCTGAGTTTCAAATTGAGTTTTTTGAATCTAGGGTAAAACAATAATCCTAAAAGCCTAGGTTTGTTGAGGGAGAAAACAGTGTTTCAAATCCCAAAAGCTACCCCCTTGTCTATCAAAAGCAAAACTTTTGGATTAAGGATAGCACCATGGGGCAGGGAGGATGGAGGACTAGAAGCCCACATGCTCAGGAAGAAGGATATAGTTGCACTCGCTGGAGAAGACAGGAGAGAGAACTAGAAGGACAAGTATAAGGCTGAAGTCCAACAGTGGTCTCACTCTTTCTTTGCAATCAAAACCTGGGGATGAGAGTGGTGGGATGGAATCTATGAACACTGAGGGTGGCTCCCCTAACTCCTTGGAGTTAGCACAGAGAACTGCTGCTTCTTGGAGAAATGTTGCCTTTGGCAATTTGTTTGTGTCCAACTGTGTAGTGGGAGAGGCAGAGAAACTATAGCAGCAGAGGTATTGGGATGGCTGGGCCAGAGACAGAGTCCCAGCAGTTCAGAGAATGTTGTTCTGACAGAGGCTCAAGGTTGTGACCAGGAGCCAACAGACTGTGAAGTCTTAGATATTCCAGATACTCATGATAACCAAGTGTTGGCCTCCTGTTGGTAAACCCAATAATCTCATCAAAAGCCCATATTCATAAGGGTTGCTTAAAACAATTACTAGAACTGGTAGAAAGGGGGAGTTTTAAATATTGCTTTCTTGGGAGCCCCATTTGGTGTTTTATAGACTCTTGACATCTTGTAATATCCACGTTCTAAGGAGAAAGAAATAGGAAAGTCACCTCAACTCTAGTCTCACCAAGCACAGAGACATTTCACCCTACCTTGGGTGACTACTGCATCTCCACTGTGTTCCTGTCAACCAGCTGTCTCTAGTGGAAGTCTCTCCAGGCCCCTAAAGCTGATGCAATATGACAAGATTGCCACTAGTGTGCCAGCCAGGCAGAGGGCCTTGAGAATCTAGAGATTCCTGCTCTTGCAGTCCTTGGGGATCCAATTCTGACACAGATTTCACTCATTGTGCTCATATGCTTTCTATCCCCCATCTCTCTTTCTCTTTTTTCCCCTTTTCCTTGAAGATTGGCTAGACTCCATGGTGCTGGACGAACTGGCTGTTAACCTGTACAAGACTGAAACTGGACCCACACCTTTCACCATTAACTAAAATAGACTCTCACCAGATTAAAGATTTAAACTTAAGACATGAAACTATAAAAATACTAGAAGAAATTGTAGAGAAAACACTTGAAGAAATTGGCCTGGGCGAATATTTTAT